CTTACTTGCCAGAAACAAAGCTCAAGGGACCTGATCACCCAAGCCTGCTCCTTCAGGGCCCTCACTATTTGCTTGTGGCTTGTGTAAACCCTGTGCTCGTGAGCTCCAGAAGGGATTACTGTAGACCGAGTCTATTAGCGTGACCTGTCTGACACGATGGAGAGTCACATCTGAATGCAATAGCCATCCTCACAATGCTTCCTGCCAAATTCCCAAAGGCCAAAGCTGGAGCAATTTGAGCAGCGAAATCAGTCGTGCAAGGGTTGGATTATAACCCATAGAATAAAATAAATGATCATGAGTGCATACTTCCATAAATAATTGAAAACGTTTATAAATGGAGATGAAAGGACAGTAGAATTCCAATCAACAAACGTGGAAGGAATCAGAGAAACAGAAAATCACCGTTCAGCAGACACCACAGTACTAATTGTGGGAGCCACATCCACCGATAGACATTGCAATCAGTAGGCCAGGGTTTGAGTAGATGCAAGATATTTGTGCCGTCTGGGATCTCTCTCCAGATGACTGCAGGGAAAACCAGTAATTTTATAGTGACGAAAGCTGGCAGACACTGGCTTTACTGATTTAACATAAGAAGACATATGAGCACCCTTCAGAAAGTTCATGGGAAAAGAATGCAAAGATAATGAATGGCACTTTTTGAAACCTCGTAACCACATGAGCTGCCCATAATACAACATACTCAGAAGGGCACCTGATTACTTTGGTGCTGTTCTTGCCCCAACTGCGTAAGAAAACCTTTGGCAAACCCCAGGAGAGACGAAGACAGAAGGAGAGATGGCCACAGATGGAAGGGCACAAAGGAGACATGACAGCTAAACACGATGTGTGACACTGGGTCGGCTCCTGAGACAGACAAAGGACATTAGCTGAGAACACTCCTAAAAGTTGAATAAAGTTCTGCCGAGTCTGGTTTCCTAGTTTTGGTGAATGTTTCTTGGTAGTGTGTGACAGGGAAGCTGGCTGAAGGCTATACAGGAACACTGCTATTTTGGTAACCTGCCTAGGTCTGTTTCTAGTGACTTGCTTGCTTTGCCGCTGTATGGGTTATCACAGAATTATTTTACTTTATTCCTAAGGGTTTCTTTCGCTCTCTCTTTTTTAACGAAAGAGGAGTGCATGCACTCTGACCCTGTACAGTGTTATGATGCACAGTTCACTAGGTGTGTAATGTGAGTGTCCATCATGATTGTCCAGGGAAGTGTGGGCCAGCCCACTGACCTCTGTTCTGTTTCTGCTGCAGGTGATAAGAAGTACATCATGGGACCGAAGCTCTCTACTCTTGATGCCACTGTCTTTGGGCACTTGGCCCAGGCAATGTGGACCTTACCAGGGACGAGACCTGAGAGGCTGATCAAAGGTAAGTGCTACAAACATTTTCAGGTTTGAGTGGTGAGATGGCGTCAATTGATAAGGGCATCCAGGCCATAATCCCTTCTATTGTAACTGACTATGATCCCATGTTGGAGGGAGCTCTCTGCTATGCTAATGGACAAGATCAATGTTGGATTAAGTCTCCACTTTAGAGAGTGTTTGTTTCCTTGGGGTATGGTTTGCTGAGAGACAAAACAAAGAAACCCCACATCTCCATCAAAGCGAATGCTCTCAGTGTAAAAGCCATCTTCGCATTCAGAACAGAGAGAGCCCAGGGTCATCGGAGAAGCCATCATTAGAGATCCCTGCTTGAAGTGATGAAGACCAAGATCCGAGGCACTAGAGGCTGTGGCACCAGAGACCACGGGACAGAGCTGAGAAGCAGTACAGACACTACAAGACTGTGAGGCAGAGCAGCAGGCTGGCTTCCTGAACCATAGAGGTAGAAGTCAAGGGGCCATGTGGCTGAGAGGCGAAAGACCAGAGGGAGTCTTGGCTGCTGGCTGAGGAAAGGAACTGTTAGGTACCAATGACCGTGTCCTTATGTTACTGATCCTGCCTGGTGGCAACCTGCTTATTTCCTCAGTAAACCCCCATCCTTGTGAGTTTTCTCTGTGAATTCTGCATGGTCATTGCAATTAATTATAGTACCCAGCTTAAAAGTAGAGAGTGTTGTGTATGACAGGACAGGAGGTCCTTGGGGTGCGAGGGGTAGCACACTGGGGACTTCTGTGCCAGTGCCTTAAGTCTGATTGTGCTTTATTGAGTTCACAAGCTATAGCATCCAAGGGCAAGGTTGGGTTGGTCTCTGTACTCAGGACACATTGGGCTGTAGGAGACACCTGCCACCTTACCTAGACTATGTTTTCAGCAACTCTGACACAGTCCTGGCAGGTTTTGTACCAGGACTTTTTTCAATTCCTGAAAGAGTGGAGCCTAATACAGTATAACTTGACACTGCAGCAGTCCTTGACATGATCGGATCTTGATACAAAATGTCGAGGAAATTTTGCATCGGAACTCGAACAAAAATTGGAATTGGACGCAACACGTGATTTTTGTAAACAAAAGCAGTTCGTGTTTTGGTCACTTGGTGTTAATTGGCGTTGTTAGTATGTGTTGTTTAAACCTTTTGTGGCTGTGTTCCAAGTGTTTTGCTATAATTTTCTTAGTTTTTATGGCTTTTTGTACTGTTTTTAGATAAAAAACCATGGTGTTAAGGAAGTTTTTTGAAAAGAATCATCATAATAAGGAACTGGTTAACCATGTTATCAATATTGATGACGATAATTTAGCAAACCCTTTTAGAAAACAGTTAAGGGAATGCCAATGGCAGACCACATTAGATAGACTTTATTTTTTTAGAGAGAGTCAGCCAGGTCCTCGTGAAAGAAGGCAAAGAAGGGAAAAAACTCCTGAGAAGCAGCTACCAGTTGAATTTATGGAAGGGGTTCCCCTTCCACACAATGACTCTCTCTCCACACCTCCTCTCCACATCCGTGTCCACACATCCAGATCCTCATCAATCCCAAGGTATGGGCCGTACTGTAGTTGTTAAAAACTTTTAAAATGTTGTGTTTCTCATTTAAATTATATTATTTTACTCTGAACTTATTTACTTTGAAATTTCTGTGTAATGTTTTATATAAAAAGGCAAGGTTAGAGCAAAAACTTGGTGGTTGAGAATGGACGAATCCATTTTCAGTTATTTCTAATGGGAAAAACTGATTCAGAGCTGGATTAAATCGTACCTCGACGCTCCTTCTAGAATGAACTAGCATCGAGGTCTGGGGTTCTACTGTAATTGTTGCTGAAACGGAGCTTGGTTTCCACTTAGTGGCCCTGTTTTGTTTGTTTTCTTAATTTTGGGGGTTCTGGTGGCTGACCGCTTCCTGGTCTATTCAGAGGTGCTGGGGCTGGTGACCTGCCGGTCTGTGACCTCTTGCGTTTGAACAGGTCTGGGAGCTTTCTCTGGTAGGCACGCGTGCTAGTGATTCTGTGCGGTTGAATTCAGACACTTCTGTCTCCTAGTGAGATGCTGTTGTATACACAGTGAAAAGAGTAAAGTTTAAGATCGTGAGAAAGTGAATTACGTCTCAACAAATGATTTGTAGGTCTGTGACTATATAAAGTATGATTGCTGTTAAGTATGATTATTACATGTGCCTCTTGACCAAAGAAGCACCATCTTTGTTTCATTACTGTGTGACTCAGGCCTTATGTTGTATGAGACTTAGAATTGTATATTGGTGAGGAAAAGACAGTGAGGGATGAATAGAGCCAGAAACGGGAAATGAACATAGGTGTGTGTGTGTGTGTGTG